ATTAAAAACAAAAATGAAGAAAAATCATTTGACAAAATCCGGAATCCCTTTATGATAAAAATCCTCAGCAAAATTGGCAAACAAGGGACATACCTCAATGTAATAAAAGCCATATATGAAAAACCCACAGCCAACATGATACTGAATAGGGAAAAGTTGAAAGCATTCCCTCTGGGAACTGGAAGACATCAAGGATGTCCACTCTCACCACTTCTATTCAACATAGTACTGGAAGTCCTAGCCAGAGCAATCAGACAAGAGAAAGAAATAAAGAGCATCCAAATCAATAAAGAGGAAGTCAAACTGTTGCTGTCTGCTGATGATACTATTGTATACCTAGAAAACCCTTAAAAGTCCTCCAAAAAGCTCCTAGGACTGATAAAAGGAATCAGCAAAGTTTCAGGATAAAAAATTAATGTACATAAATCAGTAGCTCTCTCATACACCAACAGTGACCAAGCTGAGAATCAAATCAAGAACTCAATTCCTTCTACAATAGCTACAAAAAAATAAAATACTTAGGAATATACCTAATAATCAAATGAAAGAGCTTTCGCACAGCAAAGGAACAGTCAGCAGAGTAAACAGACAATCCACAGAGTGGGAGAAAATCTTCACAATCTATATATTTGACAAAGGACTAATATCCAGAATCTACGATGAACTCAAATGAATTGGCTAGGAAAATAAAAAACAATCCCATCAAAAAGTGGTTTAGGGACATGAACAGACAATTCTCAGAAGAAGGTATACAAGTGGACAACAAACATATGGAAAAATGTTCAACATCACTAGTGATCAGCGAAATGCAAATCAAAACCACAATGCAATACCACCTTAGTCTTGTAAGAATGGCCATAATCAAAAAAATAAGAAAAAATAATAGATTTGGCATGGATGTGGTGAAAAGGGTACACTTCTACACTGCTGGTGGGAATGTAAGCTGGTACCACCACTATGGAAAACAGTGTGGAGATTCCTTAGAGAACTAAAAGTAGAATTACCATCTGATCCAGCAATCCCACTACTGGGTGTCTACCCAGAGGAAAAGAAGTCATTATACAAAAAAGATACTTGCTCATGCATGTTAATAGCAGCACAATTAGCAACTGCAAAAATGTGGAACCAACCCAAATGCCCATCAATCAAGGAGCAGACAAGGAAACTGTGGTATAGATATATGATGGAATACTAGTTAGCCATAAAAAGGATTAAATTAACAGCATTTGCAGTGACCTGGATGGGATTGGACACTATTATTCTAAATGAAGTAACTCAGGAATGGAAAACCAAACAGCGTATGTTCTCACTCATAAGTGCAAGCTAAGCTATGAGGATGCAAAGGCATAAGAATGACACAAGGGATTTGGGGGACTCAGAGGGAAAGGGTGGGAAGGGAGTGAGGGATAAAAGACTACAAATTGGGTTCAGTGTATACTGCTTGGGTGATGGGTGCACTAAAATCTCACAAATCACAAGTTCACTGAAGAACTTACTCATGTAAGCAAATACTACCTCTTCCCCAAAAACCTATGGGGGAAAAAAATAGAAAGAGTAGACTTCCCCTTACATAAGGCCAGTTCCCCACCAGGATTCTATATTCCACCATCTCCCCTGAACCATTCACTCATTCTTTGTTCGAGAAATATTTATGATAATTTACCATAAGAACTGGGGATATAACCATAGGCACAAACAACTTGATCCCAAGCTTCATAAGATTACAGTCTACAGGTCAGGGGAAGATATATCAAACAATCACACAAATAAATGCAAAGTCATTTTAAGTTGTAAACAGTAGCATGAAAGAGAGGTACACAATACTCAGATAGTGTTGAAGCAGGGGAATCTAACCAAGTCAGGGAAGTCAGGGAGGCAAGCCCTCCTAAAGAAATAGTTGAGCTGAGATCTGAAGGATAGCTGAGGAATAAGGAGGTCAGTATAGGAAGAAAGAGCATTGTAGACAGAGGGATAACATGTGCAAAGGCCCTGTTGCTAGAGCAAAGAGAGCAGAGGGGAGCATAAGGGAGATAAAGCTGGAGGGTAGGCAAGGATTTGACAATGCAGGACCAATTAAAAGCAATGTTGAGGAGTTTACACTTTATCCTAGAATCCCGGGAGACCTTCGAAGTCTTTTAAGTGAGAGATGAAATGACCGGATCTCTGTTTTGGATGTTATCAGATCTGCAATCTGGATGCACTTTGTAAAACAAACAACAGGGGGCAGAGTATATGAAGACGGACTGGAAGGTGAGAGAGGAGGGAAGTTGAAGCTAAAGTGCAGACAAAGTGGTTAGGACTCAGTGTTGGATTGCAAAGGACAGTTGAGGGAGATCAGAAGGGTCAGAAGGGTCCACAGAAAGAGAAGCAAATATGGGGGGGAAGATGGGTGATATAAACTGCTGAGCTGGCATGAGGAAGTGTTTAATGAACTACTTACAGAGGTGTGGGCAGACCTAAGGAACAATCCTGAGAGATAAATAACAAAAGTTGTCAGTATTTGAACAATGTTGGAAACATCTTATTCTGTCTGATTTGCTTTGAGACAATTCACTGCCAGCTATAAATTTGTGGAAACGCTGCCACACAATCTTAGCAGACAAGATCGGCAGAAAATCGCTTAGAAACACTGAAAACATTCTACAAGTTGCTTTCCGTGAAAAGAGTAGATGCGACGCAGTAAGGACCCCCTTCATGAGGCACACAGTCACCCTCCAGCCACCAGAACCACAGGAACGCTGTGCTAACTGAGGAAAAACACATCTAGGCACACGTTACGGTGGCACCTTCTAGCAGGTCCCCAGGGTTGTGCCCCTAGAGCTCTGACAAAGAGCGTGGCTCGGAAATGTTATGTTTGGACTGCGAGTTTTGGTGAAAAATAAAAACGCATCACGTTGCAGACAAAGCAGACCCTGCTATGTGCGTTTATGGGAGCCACGGCCAACAGGAACCACAGGGAATGGTGGAAAGGAGAGGGACGGACACAGACAGACACACCAGACAGCGACTCTCAGGAGGAGGCTCTGTGGTCCCCAGACCATGTCAGAGCCAAGGCAGAAAGGATTAACTGAGGAAAGGAGGGAAGTTTCCTCTTAAGGAGAGTAAAATCCGGAAGGGATCTCTAAAATGGCCAGCAGTTTAAACCTAGCAATTTTGCCTTGATTCACATAAAGTGTAGTAACAACTGTTGGATGCACAAGGAGAGACTGGCCAATCTACAGTCACAGAGGAAGACTTTCACACCCCTTCACGGGATCTCGCAGCAGGCTGGCTGAAAAGGCTCCTTGAAACTGCAGACTTCTCTCAAGGAGACCCACTGAGTTGGGCAAAGGCGGGGCTGACTTAATTCTCGTCTCCCTGCTCTCCCACGTAGCCCTGCATTTCACTCCATTCCAGGGTTTCTGGGACGCCCAAGAAAGCACGTAGTCCGGGGGCACTGCTGCCAACTGAAGGCCTTGACAAATGACTCTCTGTACTGGCTGAGGACCAGGGCCCAGCGTACTGATAAGGAAGCTCTTCCAGTGAAAAGGGTTGATTTACAGAGGAATGAATCTGCATGAGCGTTTACCAAGATCCCCACTTGCCTTTTGCAGACTCTCCTGCAGCCATCTACTTCAGTTTTGATTTCAGGAAGACCAGAGCGGAGGTAAGGAGGAGGGTGGACTGATGGGAAATGTGGCCCTCGATTCAAGGACTCCTCCTGTCAAATGTCCCTTAGAGCTCAACCCACAGGTGCTGGTCAGTTAATGCTCATCTGCATCTTGACAATGGCAAGCTCCCCTTGCTGTCCCCACCACCTCCCTCAAGGAAGAAAGGCAATGTAGAGAAAAATCAGAGGACTACATCATGATAGATATCTAGTGATGCTTCATGTGTAGTTTTTGTTCAGTCTTTTTTGGGAACTCAGGGACCAAGATTGTGTCTCATTCATTGTAACTGAAAAGGAGTCGAGAATGTTTACGAATGAATATTGATTGAAATCCACTGGTTATGTTGCCAAGAGGCAATGAAACCCTATCTTCTCCCTTACTAACCCAAACATTCTCATTGTCTCTTTCTTCCCACCGCTGGTCATCTGACTTCTCATTCAGGAAGCCATGCACTATTTCACCCAACAGTGGTTCCCATCATGGACCACTTTGCGGGATTTCAGGGCTACATGCAAGCTCCCTTTGTACTTGTCAGTACATTAAGAAATATTTGTGATGTGTATACTTGAGAGAACATATTTCTTTCCTTCAAAGATTTATAAGCCATCAGCCAAAAGCTCCTTCCTTCTATACCACTAAACCTAACGTTTTTTGCATCTGCAACCATCCTCTCTCTCCTACATCTTCATCTTCTCTCTCTTCACAAGTTTCTTCACATACGCATGGCTGCCACATGAACCAGGCACTGTCCAAGCATTCCACATGTGCTATCTCAGATAATCCTTCATTCTTCTAGTCCCAACCAAGGCAGGTCTACCACACCAGTCCCTGATTTCTAGGACAGGGACAACTGGGGGATGGCTGTGAAAGTCCTGAGTCTCCAGATTTTCCAGAAACCTCTGAGCTTTCTTTGTTGGATCATACCTGTGTCCATGAGGGAATCCCTGAGGACTAGTTGCTGAGGAGTAAAAAGCCTGAGCTCGTTTGATTCTTACAACACTGCTATGAGCTAGCTACTGCATCATACCCATTTTGCAGTTGCAGAAATGAGAAACAGAGAATGGAAATGAGTTGCTTGAGACCATATATCTGAAAGGGAGACAAGGCAGCCCTCAAAACTAAGTTCATTAATCCAAATACCCTTCTGTTTCTACTGATCATCTTAAAAGCATAGTCTAGTTGTTATACACACACATAATAAGCACACATGTATATGTTACTTATGGAGAAATGAAAATGCACACACATAAGCATATAGCAAAAGATGGAGAGTCTCAGATAATGATAATATGATAAACACATAAACAAAGACAAACATGTCACTTAAGTACATAGGAGAGATACACTGACCTGAGTAATATATGGAATGTTGCGTTGGTCAATTCCAACTTGCTGGATTTGCAAAAAAGTAGGGAGGAAAGTACATATTACAGAAGGAAGTGGCAACAACAAAAATGTAACTGATCATTGTGTGCATGAAACAGAAAATACCCCAAGACTATGATGTCTTTCTGGGCTGGTATCATGTCAGGTTAAAGTATGCCTCACACGCTTAAGTACACCCTTATATTTATCCTAAGGATAGACTTTTTAAAAGACGTGCCAGATATTGAGTCTTTGCTGATTTGAGAAGAACTAAGCTGCATTTTGGATATCATACAAATGTGTTCTAATTTTTTCAAGTACTCAGAAGTCAGCCATTACTCATATTGTCATTCTCCCATGGGTAATATGTCTTTGTTCTCTCTGGTTTTCAGAAGTTTGACTATCACTTACCTCGGTGTGGTTCTCTTTGTATTTATCCTGACTGGGCTCCTCTGAATGTCAGGGAGAACATGGGCTCACCTCAAGTCTTTATCTCACTGACCACAAACCTACCTATTGTTCATTACCTAGAAAGACTTATGTCATATATATTTTGGTCTACTTTTAGAATCGTTTCTGGTGGGAGGGTAAGCTTGGTGCCGGTTATCTTTATGGCTGCAAACAGAAGTCCTTGTAAGATTGCTTTTCAGTGCAAGTGCATTGGATAGTACATTTGAAGTACCTAATTTTAGTTTTAGTTTTACTGTTTACAAAGTAGTTAAAACAGCTATCAATTTCTGTGTGTTTGTGTGGTGATGGTGGTGGAAGAAAGACGTATAGTCTCAACTGATACTAAATTCATGCAAAAAAAGAAACACCTTAAGTAGAAATGGATTTCTGTACCTCTGCAACTTTCAGAAACTGTATCAATTTGGTTCTTCCTTGAAGGAACTTGATGTAAATATCCAAACTTTCCCTGCATTGGTTCTTCCTCATGTCAAAATATTTGCCTAAAAATAGAAAAATATTACCAAAAGGAGCCAATAGCTTAGCAATTTTCAAGTTTTACTCCATTCTGATTATTGTATTTTAAGTTAATTCTAGATATGAATTTAACTGGCTCAAAACAATTATAATTTTAATCAAGTTATTTTCTGTTTTAATAACAAGAAATAGCACTACTCAATCCTCATGATCAACAAATTTTTATGGAGTAAACTACTGTATATCAAGTATTGATGCTGGGTATATGGAATTTAATAGCATACACAGACAGTTTAGATTTTAATTTCAACAACTTCTAGTCTATAGTCTTTTTGATTGATTAATATAAAGCTCTGCAACCCTTTGAGGGAAGGGGCTGTGTTTCCTACTCTCTTATAACCGTACAAATGTATAATACTATGTATTTCTTCAGTATAAGAAAAGCTATCAAATTCCCATTAATGAAGTTTAGAGAATAATTGCAGCTAAATGAATCATTCATTAGGGCTAAATGATGACAGCAATTTCCTGAAAAGTCTAAAAATATATGCCTGTATATCATCAATAACAATTACTTATGTTATAGGCTTTACCTTCTTAGGAAAGTCAAAACTGTGTTACTTGACGTTGGTGGGAATGGGCCTTATTAACATATAACGAATAAACATGGAAACCTAGGTTGATTCCCTGATGAATTTCCCAGAAATATTAGTTATCACTTGCATAAAAATGGAAAAGTTTTGTGGCTAATTAGCCAAATAATGTTTAACCAGTAAAGCGATATAATATCTGTATTTAAAAATATATATGACCCTGCAAAGATTTTCTATTTTGAATCTAAAGCAAATGTGAGTTTAAATGTAGAGATAAAAGATTCTTACAAATAAATTATTTTACTATTTTATCCTTTAAAAAGTAATCTTTTAAAAAGTTTATTCTTTATCCTACCTAGCAGATTAAGGATCCCTTCATTATAAGCTGCAAACAGACGAAGAGAATCTTTAAAGAGGAGCATAAAAGCAGCATGTATTATACCATTAGTTAGTTCATCAGGATTTGCCTGAAAATTAAATAAAAGAGTAACCAATTGACACCACAGTTAGAAAATTCTTTCTCTCACCTATAGTTACAGGATGCTATTTACTATAGTTTTAAACAAAATTTATAAATCTCTTACATTAAAACTAAGAAGAGCATTAAACTGGGTTTGAATAACTGGAAGTGTGTTTAGAAGCTCTTCAGTATTCATAGTTCTTATCACACCTTCTGTCCTATAAAAGATAAAAGAAATTCATGAACCTCAATAATTAAGAGTTTGAGAAGCACTGTGACATCAGCATCTCGAAATAGGGCTGTTTTTGACAAACTACAAAGCAGACCACATGTAAGTTTCAGTACTTCTTGCTCACAAACTAATGATATTTACTGACCCTCTCTTGGTTTTTGTGATGTCAGATAAGATCATTCTATATGCGAGTGACTTTTCATTCAAGTACTTGCTGTATCGTCTGATGAAGGCTGACATAGTATAGCCTAAAAATGAGATATTTTGATTATTTTCAGTTCAACCAATAGTGGCTTTTTACAATCTGTCAATAAATGCAGACTTATTCCACATTCACCTGTATACCTCAACAATATCTTTGAAGCACAAAAGCTAGAATGGCCTTTATTTAATCACCTATTCCAACATTCTTCAAGCTTTCTGTTAAAGGTTAATTTTTATTTCCTTAGAGCCTTGATATCATCCCTTAATGGGGTCTTGATGGTGGCATTCCTGAACAGATGAAATAGTTGAACCACATCAGTTCCTTTGACATTTTCACAGAAACTATTATAAATTGTTAGCATTCTCCTTAATCTCCTCATCCCACTGCCACCATGCCTCCTCCCCCCTCCCTCCACTCAGCAAGTGACCTGCCACCTACTTCATAAAGAAAAAGGAGAAAAAAGGCCATGGTAGAAACTCAACTACTCTCTACTCAACCTCCAAATGTATGTTGATTCCCCTTCAATTTATTCATTCATTAAACAATCACTGAGTGCGTACTATAAGCCAGGCCATGTCCTAGGTGATGGAAGTTCAGCAGTGAACAAAACAGACAAATATTCCTATCCTCATACAGCTTACATTTCAATGGGAAATGGCAAGTATGCAAAAGAAAAGGAACACAGAGACAGCCAGCAAGAAGTGGAAAAAATAAGCCCAGGCAGAGAATTGGTATAAAGGTGCTGCAATTTTTAATAGGCTGGACAAGGCTTCACTGAGTAAAGACCTTTTCTGTCTCTAGCATATGGCATATTCTGTTATTCTTAGTAAGCTCTCAAATATGTGTTGTATCAATGCATTTGGAGATTATTTACCTTCTTAAAATGTATAGCACATCACAGCCTTCATAATTTAGAACATTTTTTTACCTAGGCATGATTTTCAAAACTTTTCCCTTCTTGCCATAGGAAATATTTCCATCAAAGAATCATCTTACCTTCTATGACACTTTTATCCAGGAAATTATGTAAAGTGAACAAAGTGCTCCGAGATGAAAGATGTTTAATGAAACGCTGTCAAACAAATGTGCCAAATTCTAAAATTAGTGTCTATACACAAAAAAGTTCATTATTCATAATGATTGTCATTATGAATGTATACTTAATTCTGCCACACGTCTTCTATCTCTTTCAGGAGCATTGATTAAGTTGTACACAATCATATTCTGTGCTGGCAAACATAAGGATTTGCAGTGCTGCCAACTCTCCTTTGTTTATGTACCCCCAAATAAACAAGAAGTTAAACATTAAAGCTTATGTGGATACACACTCTTTCCCTCCAAGACTTTCTATCTAGCCATGCCCCATCATGGGTAATACCCAAAATTACCCATGATTTTGGGTAATTTTAAATTACAGGAACATAAAAATAATAATATGATACATCTGTGGACCCCACTACCTAGAAATGACAACTGCTAACTTTTTGACATATCTGCTTCAAGTCTATTTCTAGAATAAGAGAAAATAAATTATTACTGATAAAGCCCCATTCCCAAGATCCATTTCCTGCTTCCACTTAGAAGTAACTGGTATCATAATTTTAATGTGCTATCTTTACAGTCTATTTTCCTTATGTTTCACATGCATTTGTTCCATGGACAAGTACTGGGTGCATTTAAAATTTTTTTACATAAATAGTTTTGTATTCTAAGTGTCATTCTACAGTTTGCTTCCTCTGTTAGCATTGTTTTTGAGATACAGCTTCTTGGTATACATCCCATTTAATGTAATACAGCATTTCATTGTATAACTACACTAAATTTTATCTGTTCTCTACGGATGGACATTTAGGTGATTTCTAGTTTTTCATTATTATAAATATGGTGTGACAGGTGGATTTGCTGGCATTTTCAGCTTTCTAAATGTGTCTCAATGTTCTCCTCCCCACAGTGATGAGCTGCAGCAGTTACGTGTATCCACAGAGTATGTGAATTCCCATTTCCTCAATGTCCTTCCAACTATTCATACTGTCAGAAATTTTAATTTTTGCTAATATGAGCATGTTCTCAGATGGTTACTAGACATTCTGGTTTCCTTTTCTCTAAACTCTCAGTTCATTTCTTTTACTCATTAGTCTATTGTAGTGCCTTTTTCTTACTAATTATGTATTCTTAATATTAACCTTTGGGCCATAATATATATATTGTAAATATCTTCTTTTAACCATGGTGTCTTCCTTACCGAAATGTCATAAGCATATTCTCCTACATTTTCTTCAGTTTTATTTTTTCATGTAGCTATTTCATCCACATGGAATTTATTTTTGTATATGGAGTAAGATTAAAATCTCATTCTATTTTTTCCATAGGGATGCATTTGTGCCAATGGGCTTTATTTTAAATTCTTTCCCCCATGCTTTTCCCCACGTTTTTTACTGCCACTAACTAAGTATAGTTTTATAACCGAGCTCTCTATTGTGTTCCATTTATATATATGTTCTATTTTTTACAATACTATACTGTATAATTACTGTTGCTTTGTAATGAGTTTCAAAATCCAGCCAATTTCTAAAGCCTAATTTTTTAATGCAAAACTTACTGAGACAAAATGCTCATGAATTGAAAATAGAAAATAATAGGCTGGGCGCAGTGGCTCATGTCTATAATCCCAGCACTTTGGGAGGCCAAGGTGGGTGGATCACGAGGTCAAGAGACGGAGACCATCCTGGTCAACATGGTGAAACCCCGTCTCTACTAAAAATACAAAAATTAGCTGGCCATGGTGGCGCCCGCCTGTAGTCCCAGCTACTCAGGAGGCTGAGGCAGGAGAATTGCTTGAACCCAGGAGGCGGAGGTCACAGTGAGCCGAGATTGTGCCATTGCACTCCAGCCTGGGTAACAAGAGTGAAACTCCGTCTCAAAAAAAAAAAGAAAAGAATAAGTATTTAATGTTATAGAGCATTCTAGTTGTTCTGTAAAATATAGAGAGATGGATAGGTGATGAGGTAATATGCTTAGGTGCACAGTCTCCCTTGGCAAAGTAAAGTAGTTATGAGGTAACACATTTCTGAGGGGCTTTTTGGGGTCTAAATCCTCTAAAGAATTGAGAGAAATAGCCACTCTATTATTGACATTGCTATCCAGTGACTTCTTTGTCAGTGGCTAAAATGATACACCTCAAAGAATACTGATTGCAAAGATATATTCATTAATAAAAACAGATAAAAATATTTTAAATACATACTGCTATTCACTTCGCTCACTTGCCCTTAATGAAAGTAAAGTAGTAAGCCCTTGACAAACCGAGAACATTTTGCAATTGCATGCTTACAGTTCTTTGTACTAAGGAAGGAAACAACTACCACTGGAATATACATCAGGCTCACCTCATTTCCATGCACCATGAGGTGATGTACAGTAACCAGGGCTTTGAACACCACCACCCAGCTACTGTTCCTAGTTTTTTCAGAAAGAACATTAGCCAGATGTTCAACGTTCATGTTAGTTTCATTGATGTACTGTATTAGTTCTAAATTAGAGACAGTGACAAGCATTAGAATACAGACTGAGAAATAATTTTCAAAACCAAAATTGGTAATTTTAACTTAAGTACCGATGCAATCAAAAGTCAGAGAAATGACATGGGGAATCCTCAAAAACATTTTCTTCATTATATGTATTACAATTTGCACTGTTATATGTTACATGATATTTAATGCTTTTAGTTATCTTGAATACTTGATGAAGGCAGGGAATGAATCCATTCTCGTCTTCAAGGCCCAGCAAAGCAGATGGCACGTAACAGGTTTGGGTTAATACTTATTAAATGGATGAACAGTACTCAAGAAGGTAACATACCCAAGATCATACAGGAAGTTAAATGGCAGGGCTGTAATTTGAAATTAGATTTGTTTGACCCTAGAGACCAAGCTAGTAACCACTGTCACTGCTTCTCTCGAGAAGACTGTCATTCCATGAAAGTTCACTTAGGAACTTGCTTTGTACTGTCACCCCATCTCTGACCCTTTTATCTCCATCCTGTATCTTTTTATTTATTGCTTCTTTTTCTTGGGTCCACTTCCTCATAGCTTTGTACCTCATTTATTGTGACAGCTTTTTAATTTTTGGCCTCATGGCTATAACCATTCATGAACTCATTTCATACAACCCTCAAAAGTTCAGTTTCATAATTTGATTGTTACATTCAAGAACATGCAATGATTCCCTACTTTTTACCAGTTCAAAATCCTCTTTTCTTCCAAAACTGTCTACAAACTATCATTACAAAACAACTTCATCCATGACACTTAGTGATTAATCAGCATTTCTTTAGGTCTCGAGAAGCCAATTCTGGCATATATTACATAAGTATCCAGGGCTGTACAATATATACAGAGAAGTGGCCGTGCGCGGTGGCTCACGCCTGTAATCCCAGCACTTTGGGAGGCTGAAAGAGTGGATCATGAGGTCAGGAGTTCGAGACCAGCCTGGCCAACATGGCAAAACCCTGTCTCTACTAGAAATACAAAAATTAGCCAGGTATGGTGGCACACACCTATAATCCTAGCTACTCAGGAGGCTGAGGCAGGAGAATTGCTTGAACCTGGGAAGCAGAGGTTGCAGTGAGCTGAGATTGTGCCACTGCATTCCAGACTGGGTGACAACAGCAAGACTCTGTCTCAAAAAAAAAAATATATATATATACACATACACAGCCCTATATAAATGTATATGTACACACACACATATAAAAATGTATATATATACACATATATATATAAATGTACATATATATACATGCACATATATAAAGAATCTAGTATGTGGCCTGCTGAGAATAATGCTTTGCAAACATCTATATATGAAAATAATCTGTGTTTAACTTAGTAACTTGCTGTAACACATGCACATTATCATGATGATAAGAAGATAAAACTTCAGAAGGCAAATACGGATTTGGTCAATGAATAGTTTTAGCAAAATACCAAAATAAAGGGGTATTTTATTGATCAAAAGAGTGAGTTAGCCATGAAGGTTTCAATAGCAGTAAAATTTAAGTATATTGCCAAGAGCACACATTGTTTATAAAGTCACTGCTCACTATTAGCTCAAACAATAAGGGGCTAGACTGGGTGGACTGGGAATCTATCCTTTGAGCAACAGATCAATCTAGGAATAAAACATTTTCCTCCTAGAAACATACAGAGGGCACAAAAATTGTGCCATGGACTCTAAAACCTATTCTTGGACCTTAGGTTAGGAATACCTACGGAAGAATCTATTCAATAGACTTTCCTTCAGAAGACTCGCTCAATGTCTTAATTTATAAGGACTCTGGGA